TTCCATAATTTAAACAATAAGTGTTGTAGGAATAAATAAATAAAAACTAAAATTTAATCAGAAGATAAAATAACCAAAATGAAAATACTTGTAAAAAATACACACGAAGACATATATATATATATATATATATATATATATATAATATTATCAAATTAATTGATTATACATATATTTATTTAATAAAATAATATTGCTTTTATTTTATTCTAAAAATAATTATTATTTTATAAAACGGGTCAGTCCATAGGTCTACGAACTAGCTTGACTTAAGCCCATTTAGGTCACGACCTAAATTGGTCTTGTTCTATTTAGGTCATAAATTTTTTGATCTAGCTTGACCTATTTTTTGAGTCTTTCGAGCCGGTCTATCGAGGCTAAGCCTATTGTGACACCCTAGGTAGGTATTGTTTCTTAGACATTTCACCCTTTTTGTTCAACATTATCTTCTTACTATTATTAAGCACATCATAATTATAGGAGGAACACATTACGTAGTATGAAATAGAGTTTTCATTATTTAAACAACAAGTGCTGCAGAATAAATAAAAAAAGTTAATAAGAAGACAAAAATAAAAAAAATGAAATTACTGTAAAGAATATACATGGAGACATACACAACTACTTAGAGAAGAGTGGTGGAGGTGCACATGAGAAAAGAACAAGAGAGAGGAGGAAGATGACCAAAACAAATAAAGTTTATGTCTAGCGATTATTATTTTTTCTAAATTATATATATATATATATATATATATATATATATATATTTATATATGATGAAAAAAACGTTATGAAGAACATCACTTGTCTTTATCGCCGAGAATTACCCTACTAATAGAAAAATAAGAGAAAAATAATCAACATAAGAATATAATATGAAAACTTCAAAATCGGAGACAAAACTACAACCGTTATCTAATGTAACCAGAGAATAACACTATGTGATAATTTTTACAACACATAGATAACTCACAACTGTTATCTAACGATAATCAGAGAATAATACTATGTGAATTTTTACTACACATAGATAACTCTCATGCCCTTTGATCTCAAATACATCCATACTCTTCAAAACAAAAATTTAAACCAACCTCACAACACTCTACTACAAGAGTATAAGAAAAGTCAAATACAAGTTTAAATTGTCTTTTACTAGGGTGAGAAACATCGTGGACTTTAAGCCCATTATATAACTATTATAACTCACTCCATTGCTTATCCAATGTGATGTGAGACTTTTCAAGATGTATTATTTTTATCAACCCAATAATATAATAAAAACATATTATCAAATTAATTTATTATACATATATTTTTAATAAAATAATATTACTTTCATTTTATTTTAAAAATAATTATTATTTTATAAAACGGGTCAACCCGGTGTAAGCTCATTTAAGCCATAAATTTTTAACAAAAATGAAAATACTTGTAAAGAATACACATGGAGACATACACAAATACTTAGAGAAGAGTGTTGGAGGTGTGCACATGAGAAAATGAACAAGAGAGAAGAGAAAGATGACCAAAACAAATGAAGTTTATGCTTAGGAATTATTATTTTTTCTAAATTACACACACACACACATATATATATATATATATATATATATATATGTGTGTGTGTGTGTATATATATATATATATATATATATATATATATATATGTGTGTGTGTGTGTGTGTGAATATATATATATATATATATATATATATAAAATATAATATAATAAAAATATATTATCAAATTAATTTATTATACATATATTTTTTAATAAAATAATATTATTTTTATTTTATTTTTAAAATAATTATTATTTTATAAAATGTGCCAACATGTCAAAACTCATTTAGGTATTATGAGTGCATATCGGGAAGGACCAGTTTATGTCAAGAGGGGATGATCATTTTCAAGTATTGCCCAAGATATCAAGTCCCAAACCCAAGATCCAATGGAACGCTCAGGAGGACCCATATGTAAAATGTCCATAGACCATATTTGAACCTTAAACCTCAAACTTAAATATGTCTCACTTAATCATTAAGACATGTTATATATACTTAAACTATTAAAATTTTAATTTTCTTTTATTTGATTTTAGAGGCGTAGTACAACCGGTTTGTATTTATAATTTTGAAAATAAATGAAATAGTAGATGTTATTTTAGTATTTCTAAAGCATAAGATAAATTTTTTCATAGGATTCTTGTTTGAACTAACAATCTTATCAATAATTTTTCTAATTCTTGTGGTTATCAACTCGGCTTATTAAACTTTTAGTTCGTGGCACTTTGTTGTCATCATCTTATTCTTGTATATTCTATATTCATTTTCTCTCTAAATTTTTAAATTAGGTCATTTGTGTTGTTTGTTTCTTGTTTGGGTCAAATTAAGCCATGCTTATATCTCCTAAACTACTTGATCATATTCAATGTTTAATATGCCAAAATTGCAGTTCAAAATCTAATTATTTCTTTCATTTTCTCGATTCTGAGGTCTGTAGCGTGAGTTCTAACTACTGGATAAAACGTGTTTTAGGTTTTTAGTGTATTTCTAGCCTGCATAGATCCTTTATCCATCCAATAAGAAAAATTACATCAATTCTTAGTGGACTACTTATTATATATATGTTGATAAGCTAGGAAAAATGTTCTTTATACTTTGGTCGACACTAAAAGTGATAATTAGTTTTATAATTGTAAATTGTTGTAGCCAACATGTAGGTTTAAGTATTTGAATATAAACACATAAATTGATTTCCACTTAGTCTTTAGGCTAAGTATTCAATGGTAGAGACAAATAAAGTTGTCTTAAGTCAAGTTTACCCTAAACGAGTGATGATAAGATATTATAATTAAATATGGTTCCTTTAGACGAGTTATTAGTGTGTAGTTGGTAAGATTTCATCCAACAAGCTGATGATACATGACCTTAGTCGAGTCCGATCTCATTAAAAGACCTAATGACATGTGATTCAACATGATTGTACTTTTTCAACTATCCTTAAAACATGTGGTCAACATAATGTTATTTCATCATATGAGTTGATGAGACATGACACCTATTTGAGTCTCACTTCATTAAATGAGATGATAACTTGTATATGTCTTTTGAGATCTTCGCTCATTAGTGTTACACTTGGCCTGGAACCATTTTTGGATGATATGGGTCAATTGGTCTAATGACTTCAAACAACACACGCAGTGTAGGTTGCTATGATGTCTTAGCAAATAATTCAATGTTTATTAGTTGGTTTGAAGACACGCAGTGTAGGCCAAAACATATAGGTATACGTACCATTTTGTAGGAGAAGCATTAGAGAATAATAGCGTAGATATACAAAAGATTTACCCCAATAAAAATTTAATAAATATTATTATAAAACAGATTAATTTACGCGAATTTAATATAATTTATTCAATAATATAATATAATTTGAATTTAGTCAGGTAGAATAATGATAGTGCTTCGTTTGGATCTAAAGAAAGGGAGGGATGGGATGCAGATTTGAACAAATTTGCAGGAGGGGACATGGTTTGGATCAGATGATTTGTGCAGAAACAAAATAATAAGACTTTCTTCGCAAATGAGTGAAGAAATGCAAGTGAACAGTAAATAATACTATTATAAAATTTGAATGAATCAATAAAAAAAATAAAAAATAAAAATTGTGAGAATGAAAATTAATCCATAATCGATTAGATTAAGTAAATAATCAATTAGGAGTATTTTTTATTAATATAATAATAAATAATTAAAAAATATATTTAAAAATAATTAATAAAATTATTTTACTTCCACTCATTTTACTATTTTCTTAAATCTAAACAATCATATTTTTTATTATCTTTCTCTTATTTTTTATTTTCTTTTCCTTTTTCCCTCCTTTATATCTACTCTTTTAATCCAAACATACTTAAGACGGTAGTGAAGTAGCAGGTGAATTCTGGTCCTTATGTATTGCCCCTATTCAATTTTGATAGAAGTCCTATAAAACATATATGTCTTCTAAATCATTCTAACTTCATCACAAACTGCATACAGTAACCATGACGAGTTAATTAATTTAAACAATTATATATAATCTATCACCCCATTATGAAAAAAAATGTAATCTCCCCCAGCCAAACATGACATTATGTTTAAGCCATCTGTTTTAATTTATTCATAAAAGTAATCGCTTAAGTTAATGAGGCTTTCAACTTTTATAACGTAACTCCAAACGTAGAAACCAAATATTTATTTATATCAAGACCATTCATTACATACGGTTATTCATAGAAGAGAGGGAAAGAGAAAAATCAAATTATAGTGACATGGTTGTTAGACTTTTTGTTGATTGTTAGATAAGCACAACAAATGGTTGACTGATTGTGAATGTTAGATTTTGGTTGATTTCTAGATAAGTAACAACTAGACTGAATATCACTACATTTAGTCCCCTAAACAATATATGCATAGAATGAGGCTAAGATAAGAGAAATTACGTGAACAAATATTTTTCTAACGATGATGAGTCAATTTAGATAATAAACATAAAATTTATCACCCCAAGCCAAACATGACATTATGTTTAAGGCGTGATGCGTTTTAGTTTATTCATAGAAGTAATCAATTGCTAAAAGAAACTGATTTCTTAAATTTACATATATATATATATATAAGTTAAAGTTAATGTGGCTTTCAACTTTTATCATGTAACTCCCAAGTAGAAACCATTGATTTATATGAAGACCATTACATATGCTTGTAGAGAGAAAGAGAAAAATCAAATTATAGTGAGTTAATTGCATGGTTGTTAGACTTTTGTTGATTGTTAGATAAGGCACAGCCAATGGTTGACGGATAGTGAGTGTTAGATTTTGGTTGATTTCTAGATAACGAAAAACGGTTGACTGAGTGTGAATATACATCTTTATATATAGCTCCCATTATTGTGTATGTATTGTGAAAACACTTTTAGTTTATGAGAAAGTTGTTCATTATTACCACCACATAATGGAAGTGAAGAGAATACAAACACTGGCTTTGAACCACCAGCTCAAGGAGCTTCCACCCCAGTTCATTCGTCCAGCCAATGAAAGGCCAGAGAACACCAAAGCCATAGAAGGTGTCACTGTGCCCCTCATCTCTCTATCTCAACCACATCATCTTCTAGTGAAGGAAATAGCTGAAGCTGCATCTGAATGGGGATTTTTCCTCATAACTGACCATGGTATATCACAAACATTGATCCAACGTTTGCAAGAGGCTGGGAAGGACTTCTTTGCCCTCCCTCAAGAAGATAAAGAGGCTTATGCCAATGACCCTTCCAATGGTAAGTTTGATGGCTATGGCACAAAAATGACCAAGAACCTTGATGAAAAGGTGGAGTGGGTTGATTATTTTTTTCATCTCATGGCTCCTCCTTCTAAGGTCAACCTGGACATGTGGCCCAAACATCCTTCGTCCTACAGGTATCTATCTACACCTACCATGAATAGGTGACGTAAAATATGTCTATTTGCACTAACATGTAACAATAAAATTACAATGCATTTTTGTTTCTGGATCAAATTAAGTTAAAAGTAATTAACGTAATTCCAAATTACTTTTTTTTTTTCTTTTTCATGTTTGAAATGTGGATCTAAGACTTCAAATATCACATCTTACACATAGAAATTCAACTTCGTTATCATGTATTCCCCCAGTGCAATTTTTTTTTTTTTTTTGTAAGTTGATATAGCATAATGGAAAATGTAACAATTATATATTAATTATGAGCAATTCACATTGAAACAGTCATCAACAAGATTACGAAAAATTAACAGAATTTAAGTAGAAACTTAAAAACGTAGACTTCTTAATTAGTTTTATGTATTGAAGTTTCTTTGTTGGTACTTGTAAAAGGATATTTGTTTGTTTATTCTACTGATATATTATTTATTTGTATTGAGTGCATGAGGTTGAAAACGATAATTATCTCTATTAAATTTTTTAAATAATCATATACAAGATTGAATATATTTAAAAATTTAGATGAAAAAAATAATTGAAATTATCTCTACAACAAAATAAAAATGTACGTTTAATGCACTTTTTATTCTTTATGAGTGTGCAATTTTAGTACATGTAAATATTTAATGGCTCGTTTAATTTTTCAGAATTTTATTTATTTGTGTGGGTTATTAATAAGAAGTTATTAAACATTTATTTATATTTTAAAAAAATACTATTATTCATTTTGGATTACCTCCAGCCATGTTCTCACTTCAAGTTTTCTTGGATATATATTATCAATGTTATCTTTTATATGTGTATATATGTATTTGAGTGAAGAAAGAATTTTGTAATTACTTATAAGCTTTTATGTGTGTGATAGGGAAGTGACACAAGAATACAACAAGGAGATGTTAAGGGTAACTGAAAAGGTTTTGGAGCTTCTGTCGGAAGGGTTAGGGTTGGAGAAGAAGGTTTTGAAGTCTAGTTTGGGAGATGAAGAAATAGAACTAGAAATGAAGATAAATATGTATCCTCCTTGCCCACAACCAGATTTGGCTTTGGGTGTTGAGCCTCACACTGACATGAGTGCCCTAACCCTACTCGTCCCAAATGAAGTTCCAGGCCTGCAAGTTTGGAAGGACAATAATTGGGTTTCAGTTAATTACTTGCAAAATGCACTCTTGGTTCATGTTGGTGATCAGCTAGAGGTAAAGTATTATACTTCAAAAATAGAGATAATGAAAAAAAAATAAAAATAAAATTAATGCAACTTCTTTGGTGATAGATAAAAAATAATAGAATAAATAATCTAACCAAATCAATATTTATTAAATATTAAGGATTAAAACACTTTGAAGATACATATTTCATCAAGTAAAACTTTTTAAATATCAAAAACATATTTAGTCCTTTTAAAAATAATATGATTTATTGTATGTTTTTTTAATTAAGTATTTTTATTTTTTAATTTATTTTTCATCTATTTTAACTCATCCTTTTTTGTTTCCTTTGTTGGTAAACTAGTGTGATATTTTTAAATATATTTATAATTTTTATTTTCTCTTATTTGATTGTTGTGATAGGTGTTAAGTAACGGAAAGTATAAGAGTGTTCTACATAGAAGCTTGGTGAACAAGGAACGAATGCGAATGTCATGGGCAGTGTTTGTTGTGCCTCCACATGAGGTGGTGATAGGGCCTCTTCCTTCTCTCATCGATGATCACAACCCACCAAAGTTTTCAACAAAAACCTATGCTGAGTATCGCTATCGCAAGTTCAATAAGCTTTCCCAGTCAGAGACAAAGTGAATAAATATTCCAAGTATGTATGGAGTAGGAGCTATCTTATCCATTTTGGTTAAGTGTTGTCAATGTCTATTATTCCTTTGAAGAATAAGAAGTAGACCTTATTCTCCTTGTCATTTACATGTCAAATTTCTTAACAATAAAAGTAAGGTTATATTAATTATGTTCGATTTGATTCAGAATAAGAATTGTACACGTATATTGTGAACTAAATTTACTTTGTTATCGTTGACATTTATCTTTTTAGTTTTGGCATTAAATTACATTAACATTTTTTAATTAAATAGTCAATTAAAAGATTTCTTTATCATGTTCGGTTTCAAGTTTTAAATATTTATTAAATTTTTTGAATGAGTTTAACTTCTCCGTGAAAATGAAAACAAAACTTAATTAACCAATTGTAAAATTTCTTTTCTTTTTAAATCCCTTCTCCAAATCTTTGTCTTGCATGTCTCCAAGTTACTTCACTACTACAGAATTATTATTCAACGTCGGGTGTAGAAGGCATTTAACGTCGGTTCCAATGACGTCGTTGAATCAGACGTCGTTGAATGTCAAAGGATTCTACGTCAGTTCAGAAAACTTGACGTTGAAAGTGTTAGAAATCAACGTTGGTTAACCAAATGTCCGTCGTAGAAATGAGTAAATTCTACATCGGTTATTGAACTAATCGACGTTGAAAGTTATATATACAACGTCGGTTATTCCATTAACCGACGTTGTAACGAATATACTACGTCGGTTAATGCCATAATCGACGTTGTATATTCGTTACAACGTCGGTTAACCGACGTAAAATATCCTTTTTTTTAAATGTTCGTTTGTTTTAGTGCCACCAACAGTACACGACCTGCTATAATCTCAGTCCAGACAGTATATTTATTTCAGCTAATCACTATATATAAAATGATAGATATCTATGTCAAAATCAGCCAAATTATGTACAAAATACACAAAAATTTATCAATCAATCCTCCTAACTACTTGTACAAACTTTTCTGCCCATTTGTTTCTAACCATGTCTATAGTATCCATAGGCAAAAGTTCTATATCTTTAAATGCTTGTAAGAAGTTCACAGTAATAGAATGATAAACCCTAAGCAATAAAAATAAAGGAATTGAATATAATAGCAAATGTCAACTTACCTCATTCCAACTATCCTGAATGCTACCAAAAATGATGAGCCACATCCAATACATTACATAGTAGCCGCACTCGTATCCTCCATTTTGTTTGTTACACTAAAAATGACTAAATATGTTAAAAATAACTATTAAATTTGAACATAAATTAATAGATAGTATAATATATATAAATGCTACTTACTTTGATAAAATTCCAATTTGGAGTTGTGCTTTTACTTGTGTGTTTTCCATCTAATGTACTACAAACCTTTAAAGCACTAGATATTGAAAAGAAGGGGCTTAGAAATAGAATAATCAAGATGTTTAGACATAATATAAGAAATACTTACTTGTTTACAATATTTTTTAGCTCCATGTCAGGTTTCCTTCCCAATGAGCGAGAACCAACACACAAGATTCTGCTTTGGACAAATAACTAATAGCTGCCAGTGGTTTACGTATATACACATGATTAGAATCTATTAAAAAAACTTGTGTAAAACCAGGAAGAGGTTTGGGATAACTTACGAATGATGGTATGCTCCAAGGTAAATATCTCTTTTAGAATCAGTGATCCAATTTTGCATGTAACTGAGAATTTGATCACGCTTATTCCCAGACTTTTGTATGGATTGAGGCTCGAAGAATCCATACACATGACCAATGCCCTGCTCCACTATCATTTCGTGCATCATCCTAAAATATGCCAATTTAAGTAACTTATAGCTTATATATTTACTAAAATGAAAAGAGTCATGAAAGATATGAACTTACAATGTCCAAAATTGTAAAACAGCTATATTTAGACATTAATTGCCCATCCCAATCTCCAGGGCATCGAGTGTGGGAAATGTATAGGGGGTATTGCTAGAAGCCATCCCAAATAATGTACAATCCCATGGAACTTGGAATGACTGCATATACAATTGTGGGGAAAGAGACAAGAGATCAAAAATTGGATTTGGAGAAGTCTCCACAACTGGTGTCTTCTCCTTAGATCCGAAGGAGTGTTAATAGCTTTACCCAAGTCTTTTGGCTGCTTGAACATCCTACATATTTTATAAAATATAATCATAAACAATAAATCAATTTATTTATGTGTTAGATGTATTATAACCATACATATACATACCTTTTCCATGATTGACCTAACTAAATGTCGGGGCCAAGTAATGAAGGTCCGAAGGGCTTGGCCCACTGTCTGCACCTCTTCGGTGGGGATAGGGACACTAGCCTCGGCGTCAACCACCTTTTCAACCACTACTTTGACCAAGTTAGGATCCAAAGGCACATTGTGGATGGTTGAAGCCCCTTCATGAAGCTGATCCATGGGTCACTAGTCTTAGACCTTCATCTACCTCAACCCACAAGCCATATCGATCATCCTTTGTGGATTCAGGATGAATAGATGCCACCTCAAGTGTGACCTCGATAGTGGCTTCAGCACAACTGCCCTTTGTGCTAACTCTTGGACCTACAAATACAGTAAATTCCAATAAGGACTAAGATTTTAGAAACACAAGTCAAGTACCAATTTGTGGTTGAAAATGCACCTGATGGAGGACGAGCATCAGCAAATGAAGTACCCATGGAGGTCATAAGCAGGAATTGCTCCTACACACGTGCAGTGATGGTCTCCTCAAGTCGTGCGCTAATGGCAGGAGTCAACTCTTCCTCCAATTTTGCCCTGATGGCTGGTGTCAATTTCTCTGTGAGAGCCATCTCCAAGGCAGCAATATCTTCTTGGCTCAGGGATGTGGAGGTGCGGATATCCTGTGATGGTGGTCCAAAATACTGTCGGATACCCACACCTTGGCCAACGGCTCGAACACGACCTGGATGTTACGGTCGTCCAATAACGGTGGTCAAGATATCCTGACGACCGGAAGGGATGAAAGTTCCACGTGTACACTTGCTCCTCCAAGGCATCCTACATTATAAAAGTTAATTTTATTAATGAACATGTTACATATAACTAATTCAAAGTAAATTAACTTCTTTTACTTACAATCCGAGCAACAATTTCTCGGGCTTCCTGCGATGTCATGTCACCAGAAGGCTTTGTACGAGCCCTCTTCCACTTCGGTGACGTTTTGGAGGAGATGGTGGAGGAATCTTGCTCTTCGCTTAAACCAGAAGAGGCTAACTCCGATTGTCGAAGTCTAATCTTCTCCTCCATCATCTTCTTAGTCAATAGGTCGTACCCACCACGAGACGGAAGGTAGGGGCGACATTCTTGCTTTGAATGTCTTTTGCTTTTTGTCTTCTTTCCTGCAACATAATTGAACACAATATTAGATACACAACTCATTATAAAATGTTCAAGTCAATTAAGCAATTAACATTACCTCCCACTCGAACCAGTCCTACTATGTACAAACTTCTTCCAAGTGTCCTCATCTATGCCATATCTTTGGCAAGGGGTTAATCCCTTCTTAACTTTGTCCTCGGCATACACCCATTTAGTGGTCAATGTGGACTTGAAGCTGTCTCCACATTTTTGCTATGGTTGTCATTATCTTCCTCCTCACATCCTCGGAATTGACTATATCAAAGTGTTCCTACGATAGCAAACAAGTTTTAGTTAACCAATTGATAATAATGTATAAACAATATAAACAACTAAATACACATACTTACAAGAAGATCTTGCCATAACAAGTTCTTCACAATTTCCTCCACATGATCCCAAGTAGGATGGAGAATAGATATCTACACAACATAAGTATCAACAATATATTTGAAATGAAATTCACTTTGAAATAGAATAAATACCTTCTCTCTAGCTAGTGTACCCAAGTAGCTACTAAATTGGGTACTAAAGGGACCTGACACCTTGCCAGTCCTAGGATCAACAGACACAGATAACTTCTGGCTAGATATGTGTCTAACGGTCAAACCTTTCAACCGTGTAGATTGTTGACTCCTCTTACTGGAAAATGTCTTTCCATATGCCTGAGGAGATGGTGGAGATGGTGGAGGAGATGGTGGAGGACATGCCATTTATCTGTAATGAAAAAAACATAGAATTATATCAATACACATGCAAAGTCTCCTCAATTACATGTTAAAAAAATAAATAAATAGAAACATAACTTAGATTGTATTAATATTTTCCCATATGCCTTCATCATGGTCATTGCGAGTAGCATGAACAAAGTCCTCTTCCAATTGGGATATAGCAATAGGCAACCGTGGTGAATTTTGAATGTTAATAAAATCATCTAATTCTTCTCCATTCTCATTTGTGACATCAATCATTTTTCCTTTGAGGACAACTAACCACCTACCATTTGATGGATCAGTGACATAAAACACTTGTTTTGCACTGGTATGCCATTATGAAGGGTTCTTCTTTATGACCAATCTTGTTTATATCAATCAAAGTAAATCCCATTTGGTCTCTTTGGACACCAGTATTGCTATCAACCCATTTACATTTAAATAAAGGCACTTTGAATTTAGTATAGTCGACCTCCCAAATCTCCTCAATGACTCCAAAGTAACTAATTGATGCCATGATGGGGTTTTTGTCCTTTGCACTAGAAAAGTGCATAGATGTTGCCTCAATAGATACTCCACTATTCTGGACCGTACTTTTGTCATCTTGTGCCTTCGTATAGAATGAGTATTTGTTAATGTCATACCCTTGCCAAGTTACAACATTATATCTAGGCCCATGTGCTAGCCATTTCGAGTGTATCGGAGGCATTGTCACTTGAAAATATTTTGCTTTGAAACCAATTGATAAAGTTGTTGTTATGCTCTTTCATCAATCACCTTTCACCCATTTTGGGGTTTAGGTCCTTTAACATTGCTTTATGCGCATCTATGTAAGGAATAACCTCTTCGTATTGTTCAAAATATACAAGTGGGCG